GCGTTACTCATCGATTTCCATGCCTTGTTGACTAATCGGCAACTGCTAGTATGAGTCCCCGTTCCTGTGAATTCATTGCAGTGAATGTGTGTTACTATGTTACCTCTGTGAATGGTCCCATATGTTAAAAACCGCACTGGATAGGATGAAGAGCCCGCGCACACACACATTGCTAGACATGTCAACAAGCACTCACCCTACTTTGCCGATCACAGTATTGAAGCAGTGGTGCGCGCAGCGACTACGCAAAAGGAGTTTATGTGAGGACTTTGGTATTAGAAAATGGAGCTCAAAGTGCAGCAATGGGTTAGTATAAAGGTCTTCTTCAAATTAAGCAAAACGACACCGGGGACGCAGGAAATATTAATGCAAGTGTACTGTGTAGAATCTGAGTAAAAAGTGTGTTTGCTTGAGTTGAAAGCTTTAGAGACGGAAAAAAAGGTTCCGAGGATGAGTCACGTTCGGGTCGCCCGGCGGAATGCGTAATCTTAGACTAGTTCGAACGAGTGCGACGGTTGCTTGCGGATGATAGGTAGCTTTCACAATGATAGCCGAAGTGTTGTAGATAAGAAAAGTCAGTTTATGCGGTGTTGTGCACGAACATTTTACAAAGCGGAAGATTTGTGCCCGGTTTGTACCGGAGTGGACAGTGGAATTACCTGCACGACAACGCCTGTCTGCCCACTGCGTTCCGTGTGATTTAGTTTCTTGCTCAACTCAAGGTGACTGTTTTTCAACTCACTCCTTATTCTTCGGTGTTTACGCTAACAGACTTCTTTTCCCCGCATTAAATTAGCCCTGAAAGGTTTACGCGTCACAGACGTCGCAGATATTTAACAACGTGTGACCAAGGTGTTTCGAGTGATACCACATGGTGCGTTTACGGACAGTTTCCAACAGCTTTACAGAAGTGCATTGTAACTGATGGTGGATTTCTTGAGGACCGGTAAAGATATTTTGTTTGTAACCCACCTTTATTTTCTTTTCTGAAGCCATTCCGAAACTTTCAGTATCAGCGTGGATATATATATATATGTATATATATATATATATACACTTTTGTACTTGTCGCGGATTCATTGATAACTAACTTACTTCATATGCTAATTTATCGAAGAGTTATGTCGGCATAGCCGTATTCTTTAACAGATATATCGCATTTGATAATGTCATTTCAGGAGATTGGCTGTCGTTTGACATCCCCGGTGCGGCTGCGCTTGATGTGCATGTTGACAAGGTGTCTACCTGTCTATTAAGCACTACTTCGTCCATACTTGCTCCAATAGACATTTGGTCGTTGCTGGAGGGGACGGGGTGCACTGCCTTTGTGGTCGTGCCGGGCTCGAAGAATGGTTCCATGCACTCGGGGTGGAGCGGACTACAGTCCAGCCACCGCCTTGTGTGCGCTTGTTTCCCAAACACAACATGCTTGTGCTTGCCTGTGAAGGAGGGTCGGCGGGTTCCGTTGATTAAACGTGGCTCCCATCCACATGCCTCCTGGTCTTATTCCTTCGGGTTTACACTGGATATGGGGTCTGTGGTTTGAGCTGAGGGTGGTGCAGCGCAAGCCACCCATGGTCCCTCTGTAGGCGCCGGCGTCCCGTGGCTGGCCACAATGACAGACAAACCCGAAACCAGATGCCGCCAAATATGTACATATATATATATATATATATATATATATATATATATATATATAATGCTATGACGGAATCCGTATCCGGATTTGCCTGTCACTGTGGCCTGCATGGGGACAGCCACAGGACGCCTGCGCCTACAGAGGGACCATGGATGGCTTGCGCTGCACCATCCACATTTCCATCCACATACCCCATATCCGGTGTAAACCCGAAGGAATAAGACCGAGAGGTATGTGCATGGGAGCCACGTTTCATCAACGGAGCAGGCCCACACTCCTTCAACAAGCAGAACAGAAGCATTCCGGCCTAATTGGGAAATCATACACACCAGACATACACATGGAGGTTGCTGGACCGTAGCCAATTTCACACAGGATGAAACCACTCTTTGAGCCTAGCACCGTCACTACGGTGCACTCCGTCCCCTCCAGCGACGACCAACTGTCTCCAGATATATATATATATATATATATATATATATATATATATATACCCACATTTTATTTTGTCTCTTTTCTGTTGGCATTGCCCAATCGTATTTTATAAACTGGCAGTCATGATTAAACGTTCTATGTATGGACGAGGTAGTGGGTAATAGACAGGTAGGCACCTTGTCAACATTCACATCAAGCGCATCCACACCTGGGAGCTCAAACAACATCTACTTCTGAAATGTAAGATTACTCAGCACGCAGGCAAACGTACCGAATACACCGCCTTAATTGCCTGGATTAGTAAATCGAATGGGAGCGCACGCATCATGCTTCTATTCCGCGTGCAATAGTACATTCTCCTGCACCTGAGCAACCGCCTTATGATCAGTCCACGGAGTTCGCATCGAACAACTTTGCCTTGAATTCACAACACCTGAAATCAACATGAGTTTGTCATAAACTCACCTTCTTCATGTTCTGGTAATGTTAATTTCGGTTTGCTCGAGTGCCGTTTCCCTGCACTAAGTTAGCCGTACAAATGCGGTGTGAGTATCCTCGTCGAATTCATTCGGTATACATATATACAATGATTGACCTCATCCGTATCCAACGGCAGTTCGAATACAACATATGTACATGGGTTTATCCAAACTGAAGTGTGAGCTGTCACAAACTGGATGGAAACACATTAGACATCATGATCATTGGTACGACAACCGTGTATGGGTTTGATTTGGAGGTCAGCCTAGCAATCACTTTTTCAGGCATAATAAAAAGTTCCCGAATAACAAGTGTTGATGTTTTCTTCAACATTTCGACGTACCCGCCTTAAATCTTGGGCATCCATATTTGAAAGAACCGGATATAGCAATAGTGAAGCAACTGCTAGGTAGAAGGATAACTAAATTACTGGTGCAGTGAAATACTATGCACTTAGGTGTTGCCCTCTACATGTACAGTCTGATTTGAGTAGCTGATGTGGGAGATCACACAGCATGCGAATGCGATGCACTGTCCACTTCTGGCTCTCTGTGTCTCCGACCGGTTCGGTCATTTGCTACCTGAGGTATGTGCATCTGCTCAAAGAACGATTGATGCGCACCCTTTGGTATTGACAGGTGATATAAAATAAGTCCCGTTTACCACTGTCAAACATGCTACTTTCCAAACAGTGTTCACAATTTTGATGTAAATGTCCAACTACTCTACCGTTTGTACCTACCGACGTGTACTCTACTGTGGCCGTAAGCTATTTGCTAACGATCTATATCGTACGTCTCGAGTGCAGCTATTTGGTGCTCATAAAATGATTGTCGCTACGCCTGGATTCCTTTCCGATGTAATATACTAACACACTGATGTACCATTCCCGTTAGATGCAAGCTTTTATTTAATCCATTCAAAAGATTGGCCATGTGCAATGCAACTTCTGGTAGGCGTCTCTGCACGTCTGACTTCCATCCGGTTAATACGTGTGTTTTCATAGGCCCCCGGTAAATTCAGTATGGCTGAGGGACAACTGGAACTATAACTATGCTCACTCTCATCACTAGCCTGCGGAGTGGAACATGAAATGGAGACATTGTTATCATCGCTAGTGGTGAATTGTCAGGATTGTTCACTTGCCACAGAATTTCCAGGAAAATTTCTCTTCTGCGATGCACCGGCGCTCTAAGCTTCATGCTAGTTAGCATTGAGCAGTTGGTCAAGCTACGGTTATGTAATCTACAAATCGATTTCAAAAAGCAGAATGTAGATAGCATAGTCTGGTGAGTAATACCATGGAGCTTACATAGTGATGTGAATCGCGGCCGAATAATAACAATAATAATAATAATAATAATAATAATACGAGGAGAAAGATACAGTAGCTCCCCGTATGCCACCATACTAGACTCCACTTGAGAAGGCGGCATATATATATATATATATATATATATATATATATATATATATATATACTCACATTTTATTTTGTCTCTTTTCGGTTGGCATTGCCTAATCGTATTTTATAAACTGGCAGTCATGGTTAAACGTTCTATGGAGCAATTGTGCCTGTTTTTGCGGTTTCCCATGGTAAGGGTAATCTCAGTTTTTCTTCCAGTTGCTTAAACCTTGGTAAATTACAAAAGGTTTTCTTTCATTTGGCTTGCTTGCCAAACATAGTGCTTCATAGTGCCAGCAAATAAGATACAAAACATCTGTTTTCACTACCATCTGTGATCGATCCCAGGTGAGTGAGAAGGCTGAGCTACTTCCGGCGGGCGGGCGTGCACGAACGCACGCGCCAGCCTAGAGGACATGGTCGTCGAAGATCTGCTTTCTGTCCCGAGACCAGAATTGGTTGATCCAATCAGATGGTAAGCAAGCGGACGTGTGGATACGGCATGAACCAAATGAAACGCAATAATCATGATTCCGTACAGTCGTCTTAACATTGCTGCAAATGGATACTGGCATACATGCACACTCGCGCACACACACACAACACTTCCCGGCTCAGGTTCGAAGGGGAAACGGCGACCACTACAAGAAATGAATGCCTAAACCAGGTGTGGGTGAGAGAAATTTTAGCCGATTGGATTTGTCCCTCACCACACACACAGAGAGCGAATTTTCTCAAATGTGTGTAACATATCATATGGCTGTTCCTTTAGATGTCGACCTACCACGAAAAAGGATGGCTAGAGATTTGGACAAGCCTGGAGACAGAGGGAAAGAGAGACAGAGGAACAATTGTTCTCTATCCACATAACTAGTCAAAATCCTCAAAAACAGCTCACCCCTTCATGGAGATGATCAATTATTCGACAAACCCGAAACCACCAAAAGCCAATGGGATAATTCCAACAAATACTCACACAATTGGTACAGTACTCATTTGGCAAATTGTGGCCCACTCGGCAACATTAATATTCCACGACTTATGATCAACCCTTTCGTGGCGGAGCCCAGTTCGTTTCCTTCATGTAGCTCACTGACACATGTCACAGGATCAGAATACACTGATGGGTTCGTGACAGATGGATCGGGAGACAAACGCTCGACAGTGGTTGATCTCTCATTCAAATGCGGTTTTCCTTACGACCACGCGATTTCAACTCTTCCACATACCACATATGGGGCATTGCACTCACAAATAGGACCGGGACCCACGTCAAAACCGTTGGCGTATTGCACACCAAACCCAGTACCGAATCTGCCTGAGAATAACCAAGTTCACTTGCTGGAATATCGCGGAACCCAGCTGGCGGCATTCGCTGTGGACGGACGTGACCTAGTCTGTTTACCGCAAGCCTTTGAATTGTTTCTAAAGCACTTAGTCGGTGGACTCCACACGGTGTACACAAAGCTAAAGAGACTGGAAATAGTTCCTGTCGTGTGCAATGTAGAACAAGTTCGTATTCTTCGGGGACTTGGCGCGATACAACCTGGCGTGAATCGGTGTAAGCTTATTGCCCCTCAAGAATTCGACGTACTCTACGCGGACTGCACAAATTCAAGGTAAGTAACGCAAGTGAGCTACTCTTCGCTCCCAGTCAGTGTTGAGGTATGAATCCGTACCCAAGTGTCTGGACGATCTCTTCCTCCGTTTGCACAGTTAAAGGGGTAGTTTTAAAGAAGGGAATACTTGTGTGTTCCTGTATGTCACCTTCATGGTTACTTACTTCGAACGGTAATTTGAGAAGGCGTGTTAAGGTGTGGACAACGTATTTAACTATTACGGTCCCAATGATCGATTTGACCAAGGCTCATTTCAAAATGATTCACGGTCCACATGGAGATTGCGCTTAGCAATCCACTCGCACAACGAGTCCCCTCCAGACGGTCATTAACCGTTAGGCCAAAAGTTACCTGTGGTGTCTCGATGGCTAAAGGTGTAGAGATAACAACTAACATCCTAATGGCTCCGGATTCGGTGCTTGCCATCTCTACCTGATGGGATCAGATGAGCTCGAAACGCACCGTGGAGTGCAGGGTTTTCAGGCGGTCAACACCCAATATCCAGTTACTTCAGTAAGTGTTCCGGGCTCCGCCTAATTGCGCATCCGTTTTACGGCTTCGCAATTATCAAGGTGATCCAGATTAGAATGGGAGACATAACCCAATTTTGTGCCATGGTTCACCGTTAGACCAATCCCAGTTAAATCGTAGTCCGAATTCGGAATGCGTATGTAGCGTTTCGAACCGTTCACTGAAAATCAAAATGTTAACGATGAGTTCCCACTCGGATCATTTGCTTACCCACGAATTTTGACAGTTCAGTGATAAACAAGTCAAATTGCAGTTGTTCGACCATCAGCTATCTCCCCAAGTGTGTACAGCGATACCAAACTTTCGGGAGCTCAGTAACATCCACCGTAAATGCGTCTATGGCATGCGATTAAAATATTGGTAAAAATAAGGTAAAGAGTTCAGCAACGTCCAACAATCCTAATTGAGAGGACTGTATCCTACAATGGTTAGGTCCCCTCTTGCTATCGGTGACTGCTTCAGTTACTAATGTGTTCTAGATTAACATGGTCCATACTCCGGTGCTTTAAGCCAAACATGTCATTAGCTCATGTGCTCCTTAAAATCCAAAATACTGTATTGGAACTGTGCATTATGGCTTGTGTGGTGCGACATCCGTTCCTTGTGTTTGAGCCATGAGATATGGTGGCACGCATAGTTATGTGATCCCCGCCAAATGGATAGGTATAAATAAGCGCGAAACGACGGATTAATAAAAAATGATGACGTATGTTGGTAGCGTGATACCTTTAATAAGCATTGGGGGGGTTCGCACGGGAATAGCAAGTGTTGGATCAATTGAAACCACCTTTAGAGTACACTAAGCCCACGTACTCGCGTTAGTGGAGAATTGCCTGTTGAATGGCAAACTTTATTGCATCATTGCGCTCAAGATATTATGTTATTGGCAACCTATCTCTCAGATCATGGTGACAACCGTAGGTACCAAACCGCCAGAGGAGTTTCTGCTCACCCAAGGAATGCGAATATACCAGACAGTATATTTTTGTTTGTTTACTTATATTTGTTTATGCTCTCAAAACTGCACAGCATTGTCGCTGCCATTCACTCTGTCTAACTGTACATTTCGATACACAGTGCCATCCGTGCGGGAATCCTGAATTAACCAAATATCACTATATCGTCGATAACGGCACTGCCTAGTGGAGAGATTCATTAATCCTGGTTTGTCGTTTTCAATTTCCTGTATGACAACCTCTGACAAGTGGCATTCGGATCGACAATGTTTGAGGTGTCCTCATGGGGTGTTGCCTCTGCGACACATAGAATGAGATTCCTTCCAATTAAACAAATCATTGATTTTATCAGTGCGAATAGCTCTTGTACATAGAAACTCCGCATTCTTCTGTATCACAGTGGATTAAAGTGCCGAATCTTGTGCTCTATTTATTAACTCTGCCTAAGTGTTATGAAGAAATAATTTGAAAGTGTTGAAATACTATTCACTAGACGGTTTGACTGTTCAACTTCGGACTGTGGAAAAAATAGGGTCGATAATCCATACGTCAAGAAGCATCGTTGCCGAATAAAACCAGGTGGACCGCAAACTCGGTTTCGTAGATTCAAGTTAGGCGATACAAAATGAGTGACAACGAACGCTTAGGTCAGAAACACAAGAAAATAGTCCAAACCTGGTAGAAACCATATGAGATAGTCTGTATGATGAGATATGTGATCGTCTTTTACGGCACAATGACAAAATGGCCTATTGTCGTTTCGCCCAAGTTGTCTAGTTAAAACGCTCCAGGACATCCGGTTAACAGGTATGCAAAAAAATGCTAACTACGAACATTGGAAAAAGATTTCTATGTTGTTAAAAAATACATATCATACTAATATGGGATAACGCTGTTGCTGATACCAGGCTTGTTTTTAAACAGTAGGCCAAACATGTTCTTAGGAATTGGAGCGATCAGTGCGTAGGGCGATTGCTTAGGGAGTTGAGCCTAGATGACTACTTATGTCTGGTACAGAGCGAATTATTGCTCCAAGAATGCTGTCTGGTGAAGGCTCTATGTCCACATATAACCGAAACCGGTACTTCCAAGAGGAGATGATGGAGTAGTGGTTAGTGCGCGGACCGGAATTCAACAAGACTATTTTTCGGTTATACAAACTGGTTGTGCTTATCTTGATTGATGATGGATTTAGTACCCTTTCCTATGTGATATACGTAAGCGTATACTTAATGCTGTACTGTGTTCAACTCACTGTCAGACTACTGCTAGCTATTGACATTTGCCTACGGCTATTAACTTCGCGGGTCGACCGGTGGCCGAGTGGTCTGCACGTTTGCTTTGCAACCACAAGGTCACCGGTTAGAATCCGCGTAGGGGTGGGCGTCCTCGCGGTGTACACAGCCCGCGCGCGACTGGTGGTGGTCGCGCGGCAGCGAAGCGCAGTTACGGCGCATAAGCTGACACCTTTCTTTCTTTTCATTAACTTCCCGGTAGTCGGAATTTATTTAATCATATTATCTGAATACTGGGAACACTATTGACAAATTACGAGTCGCGGCATATTGTTGGACACATGACCTGTCCCGCTTCACCTACATACGATATGCCGAATGTGCTGCATCTAGTTTTCAAACAAATGGAAGAAATTAGGAAAGAGTAGTTGGCATGTACTAGCAGATTGATGCCAACACGGATTAGGTAAGATACCTGTGCACGGTGTCTCGCTGGTAAGTATTTCTATAATTAAAAGAAATCAAACCGACTCAGCGATCCTCTACGCCGTATGAATGTTCAAGATACGTAACTTTACACTCGCTAAACGGTGGCATGTGTGTTGACACAACATTTTTTTGGTCCAACGTAGTTGCAGTAACACGGTAATTTCCACTTTACCAGGAGTGGTAGAGATTACTCCTTAGCGTTAACCAATATGGTGGCTTAGCATTCACATACTGTACGTGATTAGTTCCAATATTTCGTGTGAATGGGCTTAATTCCATTCCTGGCTGCTCCCTCAAGTCGGTAGATAAGCGTGAACTTTAGTTTATAAACCATCAAACGTGCATTTATTATGAACATTTTACGTCTATCTGAAAGTATAGTTTCAGATAATCCTCAGAAGTTCTCTCATTCCTGAATCACCGATTTTCCATTCCAGAACCAATAGATTTGATATGTGTTGGATAAGTACTTCCATCAAAAGCATGGAAAAACAACTGCCGGCATCGACTGTAGCCTATCGAAGCAGCTGGACTACGTGCATTTGATCGAATGCGTGCTTGCACACGCCCGTCAGATATCAACCTGAACCGCACTAATGTCCCGTACGGTGCCCCCCCCCCCCGTAGATTGGCTCCAGAAAGCTGCTGAAGGTTGTTGAGGAGACTTTGTGACAGTGCTGCACTCAAGAGTGATTCCATCCTGGATCGGAAGTTAAATTGAACACAAAGTGACATGTGTGGGCGAATGGAAAGCAACTGTCTCATACTAGACACGCGCCAGCATACACCGTGTCTACAATCCTTGGCTCATGACCATGAGATGATTGCAAGCTGGCCCCCACTACAGTGCTAGAGGTGCCTATCAAAAAGCGTTAAAAGGTTGTTGGATATTTGGGGCTGCTAACCGCCCGACTATGGTCGTACTCTTTCCGCTTTATACTGGATATGCGCTGCAAGTTGCGACCCCCAGGCCACCCAGGGTAGGAGGTCAGACGCACTGTAGCCTTCCACAGATACGGTAACATGTGGGAATGGTAACTAATTCTGTCGAATAGAAGCAATTTGGCTTAGAGCTTTATCTCTTGCATGCAAAAAAGCATGTGTCTTATCTCCGAGGCTGATGGTCGAGTAGGATAAGTAATGAAGTAACCTTTAGAATACTTCAATTAGGTTCTGCACCTACAGATGTGTGGTTTATGGGTCACCACTGGAGTTATAGAGAAGTCGAGTGACAACGGATTTAACAACACGTTCTTCTGCGCTTTGGTTTCATATTGCTTGAGTGGACAACAGGATGATATTGTGTCACATTTCAGGCACGCACTATAAGTAAAGACCGACTTGAATTACCATGAATATGGTTTACTCAAGTAAGCCATTATGGTTCATTTACGACCGTTTCAAGTAAGGGTAGCTTTTGCCTGCTTCATCTGCCTACTGTACTGGTATGATGCATGTGCCTGATTGCGCTTTCGGTGTAGTCTTTATAGATACTAAGCATCATACATTTTGAACCAGCTTTCAATACTGCATAGACTCGGATAGGACAAAACTTGTGCGAAGCCAGCCCAGCGTGATCAGGACACCATGTGTACCGCACTGGATACCGCATAGATACTGTTATCGTACACCATCTGGGCACGTTTCATGCTATTTTTCTACTGATGACAACCAATTCCATTACCTGAAGCAGCCGCCCACTCATTGCAAGGGTTGTCTGGGGACCATAGGATTTCGTGCTTCAAGTCGATTGAAAGAAACGAACAAGGACGCACTGCACCAGCTCTTA